CTTGTAAGCCTTTTTTAAGCAAACAACCCACAACAGGTGGCAAGAACGACATGACAGTCTGGTGAATACCCTGACTTTGACACAGTGTGACTCCCCTTTAAAAAATCCTGGCTACGCCCCTGTCAACAAGAGCCAAACGCGGGAAAGCCTTATTAAGCCTACCAACGACTAAAATGAACTTGCAACTACTTCGCTTTTTTCCTATACTGATTTATTTTCTGGTTTAATTGTGTTTCATTGGGAAAAAATTAACATAATGAATGACTGTATACTTATCTCGTTTGTTAGTTGCAATCTTAAACCAGGTAGTTAGTTTAAAAAACTGTTGTATATAATATTCAAAAGTTTTCATTATGTACATAGAAGCCGTTGGTGTATTTTAGATGCGAGCAGCACAAGTGAATAGTTTCAGTTGTAGTTTAAAAATGTCAATCGGGTCTCTTTATATTGAAATTTACAGTTTAAAGTAAGACAACGGTTACAAAGTGTTCACCGACAACTCGTTATCTTGATTAAATAAATCAACCACCGGATTATGGCAGAACACGGAGAAATCTCCCTCTCATATTCTGTTAGAGTTTTTTACTGTTTTTAAGTTTATTAAAATGTTAGCTCCTGTACTCGGAAAATTGCCCAGTATAACATTCCCACGGTTGAAATAACCATAGCTTTCAACGTTTTCGTTGGAGCTGGCAAACGTTACACGAAGTGGAAACAAGTGAAGCGTAAGCATAAGGCGACATACGTAGACGCAGTAAGTTGATAATTGGCGCCTTTTGTTAGGAAAATTTCCAACGAAAGGCGCTAATTATCGGCATCGTACTGTTTATCAGCATTTTACTACTTCTGCGTATGTCGGCTTATGCACTAGTGAGAACCACTGAGCCTTAAGGCTTTTCGCAATGGTTGCGGCGACGGTACAACGTGTTACACCGCAGCAACGTCTTTGTCGTCGTCTTCGAGCGTGTACTTCGCAACAAAATTGCACTTTGTACGAAGCATCGCCTGGTGACATGTCTGGTGTAACAACGCCTTTGTATTGCCCCTGTGTACTCGTTGAACTTCTATTTGGGGTCTTTTGTCAGCATACTGCTTAGAAGGCCCAGCACCAACGTTCGCTCCATTTCGGAGTCTGTCTGGTAAAGCCTTTTATTGTCAGCATAAGATAAACTGTAACTCAACAAGCTAACAGATTAATTATCTGATTAATTATTAAAAGTGAAATGTTGTCACGAGCGTGGGACAAAGAAAAAATCTGAGTCCCCGACAGGATTACTCAACGAGAACAAACCTCGGTCATAGGACTGTGTGTTCTTTTCAAGTAGAACTCACATGGCCATGCACCTGTGAAGCATCCACACAAAGGTCAGGGAACCCCAATACTGAGCATGCTACAACATTCATCAAATATGTAGATGATTTATAACATAAGGAGAATTTCAGAAGTACTTATGTCGATGAAGCTCTGGTCAATACACAAATCGTCAGTAAATTGGATGATAAGCTAATGCTTAACAGCATCTGGACACAAGTTAGCACTGCTAACACATGGAGGGATGCAAGCTAGTCTATTGCAAGTTCCTTCTCCTAAATTTTGGCATGTTTCCCTAATAGGTCCCCAGCACCCTTTTATTCTTCTATATAGAGAGAGAGACACTGCAAGAGTACACTGTCTTACCCAAGACCACAACACAGTCCCAACAAACAGAGTGCAAATCCAGACCAGTCTTTTAGCCAGATGGGTGTCCAGGCATCCTGTGGACGGCCACTTCCCAAAGAAAATTGTTTCATTTTTCATATACGTATCTTATTAGATGTTTTGGTGTGTATTATCGCTGTATATTTTTACAAGTTCTGCCATATTTTGACGAGCCGTATGGGCCTGTACAGCAAACAGGTTTCCTACTGTACAAATAACTGTACAATATCGCCGTATAACTGTACTGTTATTTGGACGGTATTCACTGCGGTTGGATAATAAGTTGCCTTATAAATTACTCATTTGAGCATGCCCTGTAGCACATTTTGGATGTCCACTTTTCAAATCTTGGCTAAGAGCCTGACCCTGACTGATCATTCCAGTACCATTCACTCCAGAGTCCAGTAACCCTAGAATGCAGCTTAACTTTAAGATTGCGCTTAATCAAGCTATAAGGGTAGTGAAAACAGAAATGCCCCACCACCAAAGTAAGCATAATGTTGACCTACATGGGTTGAAATCCTGTTCAAGCCCGAGTTTCTTTCAAGTTTTATTTACAAAATGCTGACGTTGCATACAGAACTGCAGTGATCTACCATATATCTATTTCATTGAGCTCAATGATTGCCAGCTGTTGTTCAGGAGGAACAGAACCCAGAGTCAAGAAAGTGGTGGAAATTTAGCCTAGTATTTCAGCATTTCTGCTATGTTGTGTATTCTGACAAATTAACAGGATTTAGCTGTCAATGTTCTATGATTTATTCCCGGAGTATCTAATTTTGTTTGATTGTCGACCGTTCGGCAATTGAACATTCGATTTTGTTTGATTGACCAAATTTTAGTGTGAGTTTGATTATGTTCGATTACCGACCCCAGTTGAGTGATTGGTGATCAATTCAGTTTGATTACCAAACATTCGATTAGATATGCCAGGTTAATTGCAACATTTGTGTCATTTTTAGTGAACACAGATCCCCAAGGTCACTCCAAGAAATGGATATTTTTTGTCAATGCTAATAAAAACCTTGCAAGTTAAGTTTAGCCACTCACCGAAGTTTCAGCCTCTAAAATGCAGGTTTTCCTTATGAAATTCGTCTCCAAAGAAGCCCAAAATTCGAACATCGCTGCCGCCATTTTGAACAGTACTCAGCAGCCAGGCTGCATTTTCATGACGTCATTCCGTCCAAGAGATTTTGTCCAAATGGCTTCCAAAGAGCCATTTTAACTACCACTCTGGGTTATGGCTGTTCTTGAGCCATATTATTTTGAGCCAAACATGCTCAAAACTCCGAAATGATAGTCTTGAAGATAGTGAAGTGGATAATCGCTTGGGAAAAAAAAAAGATTTTGCTGACCTGCAGGTTTTTCTCCTTCCTGCCAATTTTGAGTCAGACGGAATGATGTCACATAAACACGGCCTGGCTGCCAAGACAGTTTCAAAATGACGGCCTCTGAAATCACTTCTTTCGAGAGGAATTTCTTCAGGATAGCAGGCACTTCAGAGGCTGAAACTTCAGTGAGTGGAAAAGCTGAATGTCTACTTGCTATAGATGAAGACAAAAAAAAGTAATCTTTATGGAGTGACCATCTCCTTTAAAAGATTTTTGAACTCTACTTTTCACTGTTTGGTAGATCTAAGATAATACTGGCAAGGATGATCGAGGTGACTCATTAGTGGTGATGCATTGAGTGACATGTATTGTCATTCGTTGAAGTAAAATTCCCAAGTTAAACGTCAAAAAAAACATATTCTGTAGTACAAGAAATCCAATTTCTCTTTCTTCTTTGTTGTTCCTTTTTGTGAACAGGTCATCCATTTCATTAAAAAAACAGTCTCCTACCTCCATGAAACATACGTTAAGCCTACTTTTCTTCAGTTCAACCAAACGTCAGTGTGTTTACAAAACACTCCACTCAAACACACACCTGGGCTGGACGATTAATTTGAACATTTTGCCGCCGTCTTTGCAGTCGACAATAAATTCTATTAATTGCTTCCCTTTTTGAAGACTCTGTTCCTTCTCAACTTCACCCATGCTCTCCACTGAAACATTTCCCTGTACGTCTTCAGTGAGAAATATAATGTACCCATAACTGTGAACGTGCCAAAACAATAACCCACAACGGTCCACACATCTACAAGACGATTAACACGCTGTACATCGGGCCATACATCAACATCTGCCATGTTCTTCACTTTACTGGCTGCACCACCAAGAACATTCACGTAAGACAACAGAACACTTCCATTCGTCTTGCCTTCTTCTTCAAGCACGCCTTCGAGAAAGCCCTTATCTTCGTCCTCCATTTTGGATTTATGCAGATGCGAGAGACTAGAACCGAATCCCTTGGCACGCATTGGGAAAGTACGCGCGCAATGTCCGCGCAGGGCGGAAAAAGAATAACGCTCCGCCACGCGCGTCGCGGCTAAAAAAACTCAGAAAGGTCTGTTGTATTTCACTACTACAGTTTCAGGTGCTATAAAGATATTAGCTTGGCTGATCATAGTCTATCCACAGACGTTTTTTTTTCTTTTCTGCGAGTGTTTTTTTTGTTTTCGAGCGCGAGGGTGACCGCAAAGTGGGCGAAAAATTGTGTGTCACGGATTCAGATGTTTTATTTTTGTCTTAAGATAACTGAACCCACTAACGAACTGTACATGTTAAAGATAATTTATTTAAAATTTTTCATCTGGAATGCGAGGGTTATGCCATTAAATTTTGACACAAGCACATAAGTTTTAGGTGTATTCCATCCCTATTGCAAGTGCTAATTATAAGCTAACATTCGAACATTTCCACCTTATGGTAACGGTAGCTTACGTCGCTTATACTAAACTAAACAGCGTTTTTTTATATACTTTTTTACAAAATACTCTTCACGTAAGTGTCATGCAATGTGCAAGGCGTGACAACGTTCAAAGAGCACTTTGATATTTGTTACGTGCTTTCACGTGATTTTCCCGATCTCAGCAAGTCTTTCCTAGTCGATTGCTACAGATGTATCAATATAAACACAACAAAATTTATCATCCCAGCACTTATTTACCGCTGTATAAAATATTTTCACTACGCAACCCGGAAATAAAGAATATGAACGCTACTTAAATTTTCGATATTCGTGGTAGATGTATATGACGTTTAGTCAACATAAAGATATTACAAAAAAGGATTAAGCATTCGTGACTATGCATTTCAAGGTAGCAGGGCTGAGGAAACTGTGGACTAGTCCCCTTTTGTTTATTGACATCCACCGTCTTTGGACGTGAGTTTGTTATAACACGGTACCATACGATAAATCAAGCTTCTCTTGCCTAAAACGACGGACAAGTCTATAATAGAGTTTCGTTAAGCAGTATGCCGACTAAACCTGCGATCTGACGTTCGTTTTTCGGCGAACGCCCCCCAAAAAAGAACTCCTGATCGCAGGTTATATGCCAACGGAACCTGGTCTAATGTCTTTACTGGTTGATCCTCAACTGTTTTGTTGTATTCATTAGCTCTTGATAAGTGGCTATTTACAGTTCCAATTTTTAAACTACATTCTGATTCATAGAGCATTTTACCGACTGCAGCACGACTTATGCGGCGGATTTGATCCCTTCAAATTCACTCTCTTCTTTTTGCCTTTGCCGTTTTTCATATTTTCCTCTTGCACCGGCGGACATACTTTGTTCAGAATGTCTTGCGTTAAAAGAGTAAACGCGTGATCAATGTTTGAGCTTGAAAGTGCGCTGGTCTCCACATAACGGATGCAATGATTCTGGGCGAGCATCTCTCCCCTTTCTCTCGTAACTTTTCTTTTCTCTTCAAGATCGCATTTGTTTGCAACAAGAATTTTCTCCACGTCTTCATTCGCGTGCTCCTCGATTTTTCTCATCCACTTCGAGATGTTGTGGAAGGACTTTTCGTTGGTGACGTCATACACCATCATGATTCCCAGTGCCCCACGGTAGTAAGCTGTTGTGATGGTATGGAATCTAGAAGGTGTAAAGTAATGTCGAAATAAGCTCTTGGGAAATTAATTATTATTTATCAGTTAAACTGAAATCAAATGAAATGTCAATATAGTAACAAATTTATTTACATCTTTGGCGTGTTAGCACGGGTTGTTAGCACCAGAATATTGAAAACGAAACTTTGTGAACAAAAGAATTTGGACTCCGGTAACTATTTCGTCCCGGCGAATTCTTGGCGGGAAACATGAGATGTTGGGACAAACGCGGCATAACGACGCGGCCTACTATTTCGGGAAACATTCTCAACATTGGAAATCGTGAAAGATGGGCAGCTAGGGCAGGAAATAATTACGACTAAAACTGCGACGGACGCGACACATCCAGATTATGGCGGGAAACAACGCAAGCCGACGGGCGCAACACATCACGGCGGGAAAATATCCGGAGGCTGTGAAGGGAATATTTTTCTAAAAATAACTGAAAGCTGTAAAGGACTCGACCAATTATGGCGGGAAACTACTGGGAGATGCCAGGTGGCGGGAAAACTCCGCCGAATTCAACCTGTGAGATGCGATCGAATATTCAACAGATTTCCGACTTTGATTTTGGCCAGGTACGGCTCCTGTTTTGGCAGAATTTAGCCATAGTTTGGATGGGAGCAAAAGAACATGGTCATTTATTTTTTCAAGAAAACAAGCCATCAGCCGTTCAAGTTGGATTATTTTGAACGAAGAAGGAAATTTCTAACAAAACCTTTTGGGAAATAAGGGAATTAAGGGATTAAGGGAAGATGTACATACCCCCTGGGGTACCCCGAGCCTCCGGCACTCGCAGAAAGTTTACCTTACCTCTCTTGTCCTGCAGTATCCCAAATTTGTAACTTGACTTTCTTTCCCCCTAAAACCATAATCATAAAAAAGCTTGATCAGGAAAACAGTCAAATCGATCGGGTTCTCCACCGAAACATTTAGTACTAAAAAAGTTGATGTGGAAAAAGGCAGTGAAATCTACAGAAATGGTTAGTGTCTGAGGACCGATCTCTCACAACGATACACCAGAAACTATTTATTTCACTGCGTATCATTCCAAAGCAGTCCCCTGACGTAAGCAAGCTCCAACTCGCGCTGAGAGTAATGGGGTAGCGGAGCACATGTACCCTTATCAGGGTGGAGATCTCAGGCGTAGATAGGGGAGTCTTCCAGCAGGTAAAGCTTTTATCCAAGTAATAACTCAATACCCTTGTTTATAATTATTTTTATGCTCTTCACATTCGTGGCTTAAAACATATTGATATTGTAAGAGGAAACTGTATGTTGATCATTCTTGGGAACGCAAGACTAAATAAAGGTTTCGCAGCAGGTTTAGGGCCAATCATTTGTACTATTTAGTGTAAAACTGTTAGAGGAGAGAATTCGCGACACACACACACACACAAAAATATTCCGCGACGGAAAAACTTAAGAGGTCCAATATCATGGTGAATATTTTAGCGTAACATCTGACGGGAAATTAATCAATTATGAAGTAATGTTCATTGGACCGCTTACGTCATTGGAACAATTCATAATATTTGGAAGAAACATTTCCGTATAAGCAGAAAATGTCCGGATTACCACTCTCGCTTTCATCACGATAACTGCACATGATTTTTAAGGTTAAATGTAAAATAAAAAACACCACTCGACAGCAGGCAGCGACAGATGTCATTCCAGTGAAGACATAATAACAATTCAACAATATAGAAAATAGACTACCAGAATACAATCATTTCATAACATAGCAGTGGGTGGTTTCCTTCAATCGATGGACACAACAAGCGTAGATCTTTCTAGTATTTAAACTTATGTGCTACGAAAATTAACCCTTGACAAATTACAGGCCAAAGCCTCCGGGTGAAATGATCTTTCGTGATCGAAACACAATTGCAAATGTCGGTTTCAGATCAGTTGCAATTATTGTTCACAGGAAGTTAATGATCCATGAACGTGCGAAATATTTGTCGGTTTCAAAATTGAAACAAATAATAAAAGGATAAAAGCTTGCCCTTGACTATGTTTTGGGTATATTCTAAAAGTCAGAAAGAAGACTCTATCATGGCGATTTTCTGTAGCTGTGTTAATTAACTAAGTGACACCTAGTAAATGCAAACTTCAAGTCATCCGTGAACATATAAATGCCATTACATTCGGTACAAAATTCACTCCATGAAATTTAGTTCTATTTATAAAATACAGATGGCAGGTACCAGCTAGTATGTCTAGTCTTAAACAGACATTAAAAAATGTTCGTTTCTCAGCTTAAACGACAAAACATTCCGAGACCTTCGATTTTGTTTACAACCAAAGTGATGCTTCATGTATTTCCTTTAGTCCGCTTTATCTCTACTCACCGAGTTCCAGAGTTCTGATCTTGAAATCGATTCCAATCGTCGAAATAAACGTCGGATTGAACGTGTTCTCGGCGAATCGAAATATTATGCACGTCTTCCCAACTCCGCTATCGCCTATGAGGAGAAACTTGAAAAACAAGTCGAAATTCGGCTTCGCCATTTCGCGAGTTAAGCGCCGTGTTACGTGACGGTGGGAATATAGCGCAAGGGGGAGTGGGGAGTGGTTACTAAATAAAGTTCGTGGAGCTGAACCGGAAATCGGGCACAGTGCAAACGTAACACGGATGAAAGCACGAACTCCTCTTTAGCGGAAAGACTTTTCAAGATTGTTTACAGGAAAAGCTTTCTTTTTGCGGCTGTTTGCCCAAAAAATATGCCTAACATGCCGGGCGAACTGATGAAATCGCGTGTAAACTCGTCTCATTACCAACTGCGTCACATGTGGAAAATGTTTTCGTGTGCATATGGTAGAAAAAAGTATCACGAGCAGTGGCGAACAATGGAGCAAGATTAAAACCAGAGGGAGAAGTAAAGACAAAGTATATAAGTACTACGTATCACCAGCACGACGTCAACAGAAAATATTTGATGACTCATTCAGTAGTAGTATACGACAACCGATATTTTAACAGAGTTTATTTTGTTCACGTTTCTAATTTTCTCTCTCTAACCTTAAAACGCTTGACCCGAAGTTAACAGTCCCACCTGTTTACACAAATATCTATATAAAGCCTCTTCCTGAAGGATTTTGTTCTTTTAGCCTTCACGTTCGCGTTGCGTGACAAAACAGTCACGGCCAACAACAGTATAAAAGAAGAGAGAAAAAGGGACTTCAACTAGATTTATTCAATGCATGCCAAAATCATCCAGTCAGTGCTAAAATCATGGCTCTTTAACTTCAATGTTCAGATGATTTTACAACCTAGAGTCAGCACGACATGCAAGACTTTGTCGATGTGTCCAGTCGTTGTATGCTCTCAGACTGCGCTAATTCATCCTCACCGTACAGCAAAACCCTGTTCAAAATGTCTCTTGCCAAAATCGTGAATGCTTCATCGATGTTTGAGCTTGCCAGAGCACTCATTTCCACGTAAGGAATTTCAAGATCTATAGCCAGCGACTCGCCTCGTTCTCTGGTTATCTTTCGCTTTTCTTCGAGGTCACACTTGTTTGCGATCAGGATTTTGTTGACGTTTCCTCCAGCATTCTCTTTTATTTTACTCATCCACTTTGAAACGTTCATGTAGGACTTCTCGTCTGTGACGTCATACACTACCATGATGCCCATAGCTCTGCGGTAACAAGTGGCCGTTATTGTGTAGAATCTGCAAAAATAAATGAAAAATTGAGAGACTCCGCAGAGGTCTAGGATTAAGACTCAGGTCTAGCAAGAAGTCTAGGTTTGAGCCCTATCTGGGGTTCCTTTTCTCAGTGTTTTAGCAAAAACACCCAGGTGTATAATTTGACTTACTCTTCTCCAACGCTCATGTCACGCAACGCTCTTAGAAGCCTTGCGCGAATATTTTGCTCACATTTTTGTTAATGTACCTTTCTTGGCCAGCAGTGTCCCAGATTTGAAGCTTAACCTTTTTTCCATCTGTAAATAAAATAAAAATAAGACCAACAACGGGTAAAACAATTCTACAACTCAATTATGACTAAGGGCACGAGCATTTCCGAGCCTTTTGCAACATCCCGTGACCGGAAGTGACATGGATTTTATTTCCGAGGTCGTGTGCCTTTTGTAAAATAATTTGTGGTATGTACTGTTAACATTTTCCTGGAACTAAATTGCAATTTCTAAGAACGGGAAGAAGACGAAGAAGAGTGTTAACCTTGCAAGCTATCAGCAGTGTCACTTTCACAACACGCGCGTGTCGTCAATATTCCCGGAATATCAGGCATCGCTTTCTTTCAATTCGAAAATGAATTTCATCAAGTTCTGTACATGAAAGCAAGCCATTCCTTTCATATGAATCAGTGTACACAGCAAAAAGGTCGTGGTGTCGTAATGCGAACATTAACAAACCCTGCAGCGACATTTTAGTCATTGCATATTTAATTCACAGAGCTGAGCTCTTGCCGGCGACACTGTCAATATTCTTGTTAAACCAATTCAAGTGGACCAAACACAACACCACAAGCCCTTTCAGATACGCAAAGTGATTAAATTTTCTTACCATTGATCCTACTCTTCGAATGATGGAGAACTCAGTGTAAGCGCGATATGCAAAGCACTTCACTGCTTAATAAATCTATTACACAACCGTACAGCTGTTTTAAACGTACCGATTTCAAGTGTCCTTATTTTGAAGTCTATTCCAATGGTCGATATATACGAAGAAGTAAAGGTGTTCTCCACAAACCGAATAAGTATACAAGTCTTTCCAACACCGCTATCTCCGACCAACAGAAGCCGGAACAGGTAGTCATAGTTTTTCGCCATATTCTGTCTGGAGTTGTGTCGTAGCGGATTGCGTTACATATGCCGTTTAGTCACGTGCATATTCGTGCTGCCTCCGCTGATACGGTATGCCCGCCCAGACTTCACGGATCCTGAACCATGGATAACTGCCATCATTCAACTCTCGTTCCTGTTCAAGTTTCACCTTTTCTCGGCAAAATTTTTATTTTGCCGTTTAATTCTGACCAAAAGTTTGAATGTCATCTCTTTGATCACGTGCTATTTCGGGCCCTGGCGGGGAGAGGCTAACTCTAACCAGAGGTAGAGTTAGGTATAGTTACCCTTCTACCTTCAAGGAAACTAATTAGAGAATAAAATAAATTACAGTATTTAGAGAGGAAACCACATTAGCCGGCTGGGTTTCACGCGGGTCCTCTATCCTGGTGGAACTGAAATTTAGAAATGTTGTTTTTTTTTTTCAGGAGGGAGGAAAGTAGGAGAATCCGGAGAAAGGGCTTCGGAGCGAAACAAGAACCAATAACAAACTCTACCTACTTTCAAGTTCGGTTTATTTTGGACATTTTGCGGACGTTCAAGCCAAAACAGTCTCACTACCAAGGCTCACAACTAACATTCCGAGTGGAGTTTCTGGTTTTGGTCTCCATAAAATGTAATCAAGATTTTATTTTATTGTTTACACATTGCTTAATAGGAAGATATTTGTTCACAAACATTGTTTCTGCTATTTACATGTCCAACAAGTTAAACAAAAGAACCTTTTGTTTCACCAGCCAGTTAATAACAATAGCAGACGTTATGGTACCGATACCTTCACTATTTGTTCAATGTCAACAATTTATTAGTTGTGTCTCGCAGTTTCAGCAAACATTTTTCCCTACCAAAAACATCCCCTGCTGAATTCGACATGCTTGCAAATTGATAAGCTTTGGTCAAAATAGTCTTCCTTTCATAAATCATTGTTAATTTCTTTTCATCATGAAATACTGGCGAAATCCTAATGGAAGCAACAGGCATGCTTAGCTTTCTCTTCTACTGTCAGAGCAGGCCTGCTCTCCGCAGCCAAGCAGACATGATTGTTAAAAACGTCCTGTGTCAGTGCCTCAAATGCATCTTCCACATTCATATTTGAAAAAGCGCTTATTTCCAGGTAACGAATCTCAAGATTTTGTGCAAGCTGTTCTCCCTGCTCTCTTGTGATTACTCTTTGTTTCTTGAGGTCGCATTTGTTCGCTACCAACATCTTTATTACATCAGGATTGGCAAGCTCCTGAGTTTTTTGTATCCACTTCGGAATGTGTTTGAAAGACTTTTCGTCGGTGACGTCATACACCAACATGATCCCCTGGGCTCCCCGGTAACATGTGGCCGCGATGGTATGGAATCTGCAGGAAAATGCACAAGTCAGTTTTTTTTAGTTTTAAACTTATTTGTAAGTGTTTCGTTGCTGTTTCAGTACTAAAGCAAAGCTGAGGACAAGGTATTTTTGAAAGCTAAACCATAAATAAATAAATAAATAAATAAATAAATAAATAAATAAACAAATAAAAATATAGTCATAAATACCTTAACTGACCACTCCCCCAATGGGGTTTTTCAGGGCCAATGCAAACAAATGATAAAACGAATACAATATAAATGAACATAGCGTGGTTAAAAACCCAACCGGCGGGAGGCAGACCAGTTGGCTATTTACAAGAGTGATAGCCTGCAGAGCAGGCGAGTTTTTTTCGAGCGAGCACATCGTAAAAAGTTTAGCCGCCATCTTGAATTTTTCATGCAGTGGAAGACTGGAGAGGGAAAGAAAGTTTTACTAAGGGGGTGAATGATAGGCAAGAGGAAGGATAGGGGAGGGGGTGGAGCGAAGAAAATCTTCTCATTTTTCCCCTTCCCCATCCCCCACCGTCTAACATGGCGGTCACAAGGTTGTAACGCTAACTCGCCCCAATAAGACGCCTGCACTGCAGGCTACAGGAGTGACCGAGGAGTTAAACTCAGGGCTACCGAGAACAACGCCAGCAGGTGGTCAGAACTGGACTTCCGGATTTCAAGTTAAGCGCTCTAACCACGCGGCCAAGCTGCCTCCCATGCCATGAAGTTGAGGATTCTTTTACCTTTCCTGGCCAGCAGTGTCCCAGATTTGTAACTTGATTTTCTTTCCACCTGATATAGAAAATATAATAGAACACGATCTTGACTATGAACAACGAGAACACCCTTTGTTCGAGGTTCAGTTGCGTGCGCGAGTTAAACATGTGCTAGACATACTGGGCCACTGTTGTCTTTGACTCCCTCCCCCCCTCCCCTCCCCCGGCCCATCCCGGCCCTGTCTTCCCCGTAGAACTCGAAAGTTCGAGGGTTAAACCGAAATTCATTCTATGGTGAATTGTCAGCGATATGATAAAAACTAAGTTTCTGAGTAGTGATTTAATGACAGACCATTTCGTTCTTGTTTGTTCAATTAACCTTCATTTTTGTCGCAACCAGCAGTGCGTCACGCAAGCTTTGAATAGAATGCGTGACGAGGCCCAAGTTACTCGTAATGATCCATTCGAATCGTGTATTAATGTAGCCATTTGCGCTGTTTATTCCCAGCTTGTTTGAATTTCTGCTGTAAAGTCAAGTCAAGGCAGCTCTTGAGACACTCCGTGATAAACGCTAAGTAATTTCACAAACAAACAACAAACGCACAACAAACACTAACAGGTCTTATGACCTTTAAGTGTTTCGAAACAATATTTACAAATAATCGCCTGTTTGATTAACAACGTTATTGGGCTCAGCCGGGAGCAAAAATCCTAAAATATTGCCTTGAAATTGACACTGTCTGAAAATGAGTGCTCAAGCTTCGGTCCTCGGTTTAGAGATCCTTGTACTCACCAATTTCCACTGTCCTGATCTTGAAATCTATGCCAATAGTTGTGATGAATGCGGTATTAAACGTATTTTCGACAAATCGAAATATTATACATGTCTTACCAACACCGCTATCCCCGATAAGGAGTAATTTGAATAAGAAGTCAAACTTTTTCTCCATTTTGAACAGGGGGCAGTTTTAGCTCGCCGTGAATCGAAGCGTTGAGTTAGATCTGAGCAAGTTGTCCCATTGCCTCGTGGATAGCACCTTCTAGAACCCTTGATCGCATTGCAGTCGCGTGACTTTAAAGACCATAGTTTTCATCGGATTGTCACCGGTAGCAAGTTATGCGGCTAAAATAGTTATGGACGGTCTATCTTAAGTTATTGACCTCAAATGTGAACAGTAAGAGAAATGGTACGAAATATATAATTATTCACAGTATAGTCTCAATAAGTCTCAACAGGGTAGGAAACTATGAAGGATGCTTGGCGGATCAGTTCTAAAAAAGTTGAACACACGACCAAAACAAGTAACATGGGCGTACATTTCTGGCCACGTTTAGTTCTCTCCTGGTTGTGAAAAAATCTAAATAGATCTGAATAGGCTGAACGTCAAGACTTTTGGGTTGTTTAGGATTACAGAAGGCAGTGTCCACGAAAGTTCAGTCACTCATTTAATTCTTACATACAATGTTGTAAAGAACTAACAAAATTAAAAAATTCGTAAACTTGGCCAGAATGTCAGTCTGGCTTCGGGGTAGACAAGCCACAGCCGGAAATACGTGTACGTTCGAATGCTAAGTCTAGTTATCTCTAGTAAGACTACTGTTATTAAAACTCAGTGACTCAAGGATAGTGCAGATATATCATACAGCTGATCAATTGATTGTAGAATGATCGTTTCGTTTCGAGACAAAGGCGTGTACTTTCAGGGTAAAATACTGTGTTCATATTTTTTTTATTTAAGTCCAAACACGTTGAAACACCAAACGTGATCATACGTACCGTTTCCTTTACAACAGTCACATGATGCTTCTGTCTTTTCTTGAAACCTTATGTAACATTATACTTAATTGTTTTTTGTGCGAACGCTGTAAAATTATACTTCTGTTTTCTTGAAAGACACGCCCGTCCTTGGCGACATTGAGGGTGGATAAAACCAGTTACAACACATTCAGATAGTAATTAATTGCACATTTAGGAGATATGCAAGGGTCACCTTTTCCGATACTAATAAACATCGTCGCTTGACCTAGCCGCTCTTTGGGTTCGTCACGTATTATTGAGTGATGAGCACAAAGAGCAGAGGGTAGGAGGCTACGCTTGAACAAAAACCTTGGTCTAATTAAATCAATTTGACTTGCCGCTTTAGAGTCTACAGGAATATTGAAGTGTTCCCACACCAGAAAGCTTTAGAAAGCTAGCTTTTCTTAGATTGCCCATAGGCCACCAATAAACTAGAAAAGAGACTTAAAGAAAAGCTGTCGGCCAAGTGCAAGCCCAGTATACCGCTGGCATTTGAAATCTTAGGGATATTGGCGCCTGCTCCGACCGATCAGACCGCTGTAACCGAGTAACTCGTAGACTCAGGGCAGTGATAAGTTGGCAAGTCGAATAGGCCATTAATTTCCGGGTTACCTTGTGCCTCTGTTTCAAAACGCGTTTTCGTGCAAAACCTTTGATAGAAAAATAAGTTTGATTTGCATGAAAATGAGCCTGAAGAAGAAACACATTTTCATATTAATGGTTTCGCACGGAGACTCGATTTGACACAGAGGCAAAAGGCAACTCGGAAGTGGCCTATTAGTCAACTTCAGTCCACGTTCTTTGTCAAAGACCACACAGGATTATAAAAACAAGACTATGAATTCTTCTAATGGCAGATACTTATACAAAGTTTATTCGTATCCTAAATTCGAAATCTTGACATTGCATATTGCAATCTATAACATCATTGTTTACGTTATACACCTAATTGATGTTTTGAACCAGGCTTATACAAATATATCATATACGTTTCCCTAAATTCTCTGGAACATTTTAAAGATCGCTCTTTTTAAAGGTATTACATTTCTGTCTCCGTTTGTCCAGCTTCCCCTTCGCTTCTCCTACAGTATTCACACTATGAGGATTGTAAATCTGCCTGCAGAATATATGGGGAGAGGTGAAGAGTGTTTTCATCCTACATGCATTGCGCGCCTTGTCCTCTATGAAAAATAACTATTAGTAATTACAAAGACTGCTTTGAAAATTCATCTTACTCCAGCTATTAAGCTATCATGTCTCCAACGCACAACGACACAGATATTCGGATCAGGCGGTAAATCATATGACGGGCAGGTTTAAAAAAAAAATGGCAAAATGACGAAATGGCGCAATGGTTAGCCTAAAGAGCGCTCCGGTTAGCCTAAAGAGCGCTCAGGTTAGCCTAGATAGCCCTCAGGTTAGCCTGAATATATAGCGCTCTGATTACCCTAAATAGCACTGACTTAGCCTTAGCCCTCAATAATTGTAAGGGTTTACCGTATCCCACACTGTTAAGTGCCATTTCTTGTTTTAAACACGTTCCCATATGACCAATCGGTGAAACACATAAGCATGTAAATATCGATCGGAGCAAGAATGTAATAGAGCATGTTGCATGGCAGCGGCTTGAGGAGTATAAGTTCCTCTCTCTCCCATTATATCTAGTGAAAATGCTCTCATTCTTACTTACCGTATTCATTTTCCTGTCACGCAGGTAATGGTTAATAAAAAGTTTTAGAGCGATAGCATCACCTGATTAAATGTCCGCTATAAAAATTGAATTTAGATTTCCAATGATCAGTGCGCACGCGCACAAATTCTACGCTTGACATGGCGTAACTTCCTTCAGAGCTACCTTACACGTTTCGAGCTGGATTTACAGCTCAAAAAATCTAAGTTTAAAAAATTATCTTAACACGAATGATCAACCTAGGAGCAATTCTTCGTCTTGCTCAATTTTGATGCCATGATGTCTTGGGCCAAAGTCTTCGGAAACTGCCCTTTCTTTCTCCATTTCCTCTTGTGAGCCGGTGTGGCTTAAGATATCTTGAATAAGCAACTTAAGGACTTCGTCAATCTCTAAGCTTTGCAGGTCGTTGATCTCTGCATATCGCATGCCGTATTCCCGGGCGAATTTCTCGCCCTCTTTCTTTGTGATCTCGCGTTTTCTTTCGTTAGACCGGCAGTTGTTGGCCACCAGAATCCTCTGAAAGTCCTGTTCGCTGGCATGATGCTCGATAATGCTCAGCCAATCCAGGATTTTGTCGTACGACGCTCTGTCGGTGACGTCATAGGCCAGAATGAACCCTTGTGTCCCGTGATAGTAACTGGTCGACGAGGCCTGGGAGCTAAAACAAATTGTAACATTTTACGACTCGGAAAGCTAGGAATAAGCAATTGAGCAATATATGATCAGCTGGAGTGGGGAGGGGGAGGGATTTGGGAAACCAGACTGCGATCCTTACTTAAGACCGTGGACATATATAAAGAACAAAGTGAACCAATCGATAAAAGCTCTAGTTCATTTACAAGTCTTTCGAGAAAAGATCGGGATACAACGAGCGCAGACGTAAGGGGATGGGTTGAGTGGAGAGAAAATAGACGGTCTGAGTGGACACAGCTTCTCCAGAAACGGAAAATCCCCATTGGCTAAAAGACGATCAACGTGCCATCGCCGTGTCAATGATCGTTGAAGTTTTAGTACAAACGTACTGATGTTCTATGACGAATGTCGTCCGCTGATTGGCTATGCAACTCACTATCTATTTTGTTGTATAGTGAGTAGCCCAGCAGTGTGCGATTGTTAATTAACTGGCGGCCGCCTCTTGGCGTTTTGTAAGTGTCGGTGAAGAGGTTTGGGATAAAGTTTTGAACGACTAGTAGATTTATACTAAAACAATTAGATTACATTTGCTCGATAGCGATAGAAATCTCGAGCTCATAATCTAATTACTTAATAGAAACACGATTTTAAACCAATCAGCGCGCGTATTTTCTATGGCCTATTATCTGATGTTATATAATATGTTGAATTATTCTCGCATTTTGTTTGGTTCCTTCTTATGATATATTGGAGGACATACAATTCACTTAGATGACGTCATCTACAATCTTTTGTTTCTTTATAATATAAAACAAATTGATTCCATATTGCCGCGCGTCTGTTCAGTAAAAGATAACAAATGATGTCAAAACGTGGTCAGGTCATCAGTGACCCACTCGGCTAACGGCTCGTGTGCCACTTAAGCAAAACCACGACGGCGACGGCAACGCAAACGTCACCAAACAAAAGATTTAATGAGCAATACAATGGCTGTGCACGTGCTTTATAAATCTTTATAGATTTCTTTGCCGTCCTCTGCAAAACAACAACGTTAAATGACCAAGTTCGCTGGTAAAATATAAATTCATTTTTGACTAGGCGTCATTCTGGGCGTTGTTCGTCGTCGATGCTTACATTTGCATAATTAACATAATGATTTGCNCCTTTCCTGGCCAGCAGTGTCCCAGATTTGTAACTTGATTTTCTTTCCACCTGATATAGAAAATATAATAGAACACGATCTTGACTATGAACAACGAGAACACCCTTTGTTCGAGGTTCAGTTGCGTGCGCGAGTTAAACATGTGCTAGACATACTGGGCCACTGTTGTCTTTGACTCCCTCCCCCCCTCCCCTCCCCCGGCCCATCCCGGCCCTGTCTTCCCCGTAGAACTCGAAAGTTCGAGGGTTAAACCGAAATTCATTCTATGGTGAATTGTCAGCGATATGATAAAAACTAAGTTTCTGAGTAGTGATTTAATGACAGACCATTTCGTTCTTGTTTGTTCAATTAACCTTCATTTTTGTCGCAACCAGCAGTGCGTCACGCAAGCTTTGAATAGAATGCGTGACGAGGCCCAAGTTACTCGTAATGATCCATTCGAATCGTGTATTAATGTAGCCATTTGCGCTGTTTATTCCCAGCTTGTTTGAATTTCTGCTGTAAAGTCAAGTCAAGGCAGCTCTTGAGACACTCCGTGATAAACGCTAAGTAATTTCACAAACAAACAACAAACGCACAACAAACACTAACAGGTCTTATGACCTTTAAGTGTTTCGAAACAATATTTACAAATAATCGCCTGTTTGATTAACAACGTTATTGGGCTCAGCCGGGAGCAAAAATCCTAAAATATTGCCTTGAAATTGACACTGTCTGAAAATGAGTGCTCAAGCTTCGGTCCTCGGTTTAGAGATCCTTGTACTCACCAATTTCCACTGTCCTGATCTTGAAATCTATGCCAATAGTTGTGATGAATGCGGTATTAAACGTATTTTCGACAAATCGAAATATTATACATGTCTTACCAACACCGCTATCCCCGATAAGGAGTAATTTGAATAAGAAGTCAAACTTTTTCTCCATTTTGAACAGGGGGCAGTTTTAGCTCGCCGTGAATCGAAGCGTTGAGTTAGATCTGAGCAAGTTGTCCCATTGCCTCGTGGATAGCACCTTCTAGAACCCTTGATCGCATTGCAGTCGCGTGACTTTAAAGACCATAGTTTTCATCGGATTGTCACCGGTAGCAAGTTATGCGGCTAAAATAGTTATGGACGGTCTATCTTAAGTTATTGACCTCAAATGTGAACAGTAAGAGAAATGGTACGAAATATATAATTATTCACAGTATAGTCTCAATAAGTCTCAACAGGGTAGGAAACTATGAAGGATGCTTGGCGGATCAGTTCTAAAAAAGTTGAACACACGACCAAAACAAGTAACATGGGCGTACATTTCTGGCCACGTTTAGTTCTCTCCTGGTTGTGAAAAAATCTAAATAGATCTGAATAGGCTGAACGTCAAGACTTTTGGGTTGTTTAGGATTACAGAAGGCAGTGTCCACGAAAGTTCAGTCACTCATTTAATTCTTACATACAATGTTGTAAAGAACTAACAAAATTAAAAAATTCGTAAACTTGGCCAGAATGTCAGTCTGGCTTCGGGGTAGACAAGCCACAGCCGGAAATACGTGTACGTTCGAATGCTAAGTCTAGTTATCTCTAGTAAGACTACTGTTATTAAAACTCAGTGACTCAAGGATAGTGCAGATATATCATACAGCTGATCAATTGATTGTAGAATGATCGTTTCGTTTCGAGACAAAGGCGTGTACTTTCAGGGTAAAATACTGTGTTCATATTTTTTTTATTTAAGTCCAAACACGTTGAAACACCAAACGTGATCATACGTACCGTTTCCTTTACAACAGTCACATGATGCTTCTGTCTTTTCTTGAAACCTTATGTAACATTATACTTAATTGTTTTTTGTGCGAACGCTGTAAAATTATACTTCTGTTTTCTTGAAAGACACGCCCGTCCTTGGCGACATTGAGGGTGGATAAAACCAGTTACAACACATTCAGATAGTAATTAATTGCACATTTAGGAGATATGCAAGGGTCACCTTTTCCGATACTAATAAACATCGTCGCTTGACCTAGCCGCTCTTTGGGTTCGTCACGTATTATTGAGTGATGAGCACAAAGAGCAGAGGGTAGGAGGCTACGCTTGAACAAAAACCTTGGTCTAATTAAATCAATTTGACTTGCCGCTTTAGAGTCTACAGGAATATTGAAGTGTTCCCACACCAGAAAGCTTTAGAAAGCTAGCTTTTCTTAGATTGCCCATAGGCCACCAATAAACTAGAAAAGAGACTTAAAGAAAAGCTGTCGGCCAAGTGCAAGCCCAGTATACCGCTGGCATTTGAAATCTTAGGGATATTGGCGCCTGCTCCGACCGATCAGACCGCTGTAACCGAGTAACTCGTAGACTCAGGGCAGTGATAAGTTGGCAAGTCGAATAGGCCATTAATTTCCGGGTTACCTTGTGCCTCTGTTTCAAAACGCGTTTTCGTGCAAAACCTTTGATAGAAAAATAAGTTTGATTTGCATGAAAATGAGCCTGAAGAAGAAACACATTTTCATATTAATGGTTTCGCACGGAGACTCGATTTGACACAGAGGCAAAAGGCAACTCGGAAGTGGCCTATTAGTCAACTTCAGTCCACGTTCTTTGTCAAAGACGACACAGGATTATAAAAACAAGACTATGAATTCTTCTAATGGCAGATACTTATACAAAGTTTATTCGTATCCTAAATTCGAAATCTTGACATTGCATATTGCAATCTATAACATCATTGTTTACGTTATACACCTAATTGATGTTTTGAACCAGGCTTATACAAATATATCATATACGTTTCCCTAAATTCTCTGGAACATTTTAAAGATCGCTCTTTTTAAAGGTATTACATTTCTGTCTCCGTTTGTCCAGCTTCCCCTTCGCTTCTCCTACAGTATTCACACTATGAGGATTGTAAATCTGCCTGCAGAATATATGGGGAGAGGTGAAGAGTGTTTTCATCCTACATGCATTGCGCGCCTTGTCCTCTATGAAAAATAACTATTAGTAATTACAAAGACTGCTTTGAAAATTCATCTTACTCCAGCTATTAAGCTATCATGTCTCCAACGCACAACGACACAGATATTCGGATCAGGCGGTAAATCATATGACGGGCAGGTTTAAAAAAAAAATGGCAAAATGACGAAATGGCGCAATGGTTAGCCTAAAGAGCGCTCCGGTTAGCCTAAAGAGCGCTCAGGTTAGCCTAGATAGCCCTCAGGTTAGCCTGAATATATAGCGCTCTGATTACCCTAAATAGCACTGACTTAGCCTTAGCCCTCAATAATTGTAAGGGTTTACCGTATCCCACACTGTTAAGTGCCATTTCTTGTTTTAAACACGTTCCCATATGACCAATCGGTGAAACACATAAGCATGTAAATATCGATCGGAGCAAGAATGTAATAGAGCATGTTGCATGGCAGCGGCTTGAGGAGTATAAGTTCCTCTCTCTCCCATTATATCTAGTGAAAATGCTCTCATTCTTACTTACCGTATTCATTTTCCTGTCACGCAGGTAATGGTTAATAAAAAGTTTTAGAGCGATAGCATCACCTGATTAAATGTCCGCTATAAAAATTGAATTTAGATTTCCAATGATCAGTGCGCACGCGCACAAATTCTACGCTTGACATGGCGTAACTTCCTTCAGAGCTACCTTACACGTTTCGAGCTGGATTTACAGCTCAAAAAATCTAAGTTTAAAAAATTATCTTAACACGAATGATCAACCTAGGAGCAATTCTTCGTCTTGCTCAATTTTGATGCCATGATGTCTTGGGCCAAAGTCTTCGGAAACTGCCCTTTCTTTCTCCATTTCCTCTTGTGAGCCGGTGTGGCTTAAGATATCTTGAATAAGCAACTTAAGGACTTCGTCAATCTCTAAGCTTTGCAGGTCGTTGATCTCTGCATATCGCATGCCGTATTCCCGGGCGAATTTCTCGCCCTCTTTCTTTGTGATCTCGCGTTTTCTTTCGTTAGACCGGCAGTTGTTGGCCACCAGAATCCTCTGAAAGTCCTGTTCGCTGGCATGATGCTCGATAATGCTCAGCCAATCCAGGATTTTGTCGTACGACGCTCTGTCGGTGACGTCATAGGCCAGAATGAACCCTTGTGTCCCGTGATAGTAACTGGTCGACGAGGCCTGGGAGCTAAAACAAATTGTAACATTTTACGACTCGGAAAGCTAGGAATAAGCAATTGAGCAATATATGATCAGCTGGAGTGGGGAGGGGGAGGGATTTGGGAAACCAGACTGCGATCCTTACTTAAGACCGTGGACATATATAAAGAACAAAGTGAACCAATCGATAAAAGCTCTAGTTCATTTACAAGTCTTTCGAGAAAAGATCGGGATACAACGAGCGCAGACGTAAGGGGATGGGTTGAGTGGAGAGAAAATAGACGGTCTGAGTGGACACAGCTTCTCCAGAAACGGAAAATCCCCATTGGCTAAAAGACGATCAACGTGCCATCGCCGTGTCAATGATCGTTGAAGTTTTAGTACAAACGTACTGATGTTCTATGACGAATGTCGTCCGCTGATTGGCTATGCAACTCACTATCTATTTTGTTGTATAGTGAGTAGCCCAGCAGTGTGCGATTGTTAATTAACTGGCGGCCGCCTCTTGGCGTTTTGTAAGTGTCGGTGAAGAGGTTTGGGATAAAGTTTTGAACGACTAGTAGATTTATACTAAAACAATTAGATTACATTTGCTCGATAGCGATAGAAATCTCGAGCTCATAATCTAATTACTTAATAGAAACACGATTTTAAACCAATCAGCGCGCGTATTTTCTATGGCCTATTATCTGATGTTATATAATATGTTGAATTATTCTCGCATTTTGTTTGGTTCCTTCTTATGATATATTGGAGGACATACAATTCACTTAGATGACGTCATCTACAATCTTTTGTTTCTTTATAATATAAAACAAATTGATTCCATATTGCCGCGCGTCTGTTCAGTAAAAGATAACAAATGATGTCAAAACGTGGTCAGGTCATCAGTGACCCACTCGGCTAACGGCTCGTGTGCCACTTAAGCAAAACCACGACGGCGACGGCAACGCAAACGTCACCAAACAAAAGATTTAATGAGCAATACAATGGCTGTGCACGTGCTTTATAAATCTTTATAGATTTCTTTGCCGTCCTCTGCAAAACAACAACGTTAAATGACCAAGTTCGCTGGTAAAATATAAATTCATTTTTGACTAGGCGTCATTCTGGGCGTTGTTCGTCGTCGATGCTTACATTTGCATAATTAACATAATGATTTGCATAATGATCATAATGATTCTCACAATGACCATAATTTTACAAAGAAAACAGAGTCACCCCTTTGTTTCAGTTGGACAAGAATGTACACATTGTGTTTTATCCCAAGCACAAAAATTAAAGTGTTACAAAAGTGAAACAAATAACTTACAATATTTAGAGTGAAAGCCACATCAACCTTAGCTAGTTTTCATACGGGCCCTTTAGATCTATCCTGGTGGAATTAGTTTTAGTGGAGGAAGGAAAACCCAAGAACCTGGAGATAAACCCTCGGAGCAAGGCGAGAACCAATTGCAACAACAAACTCAACCAATATGGCGCCGGGTCGGAATCGAATTCGGGTCACATTCGTGGGAGGCGAGTGCTCTCACCAAGCACTGCGCCATCTCTGCTTCCCAAAAAGTAAGTTTAAATGAACATTATTCCTAGTATTAAATGGGTCTGGTCTGCCTGGACGAGACAACAGTTTACATGTATTGGAGAAATTACCGGAATGGTGGCGTGACCTCTGATCGCGTGACTAGCAACACGACAGCTGCCAATGATTTCCATACCAGACTGATCTTAAAGTGAGGTGGAAAAAATACAAAACATCCCTCTTACCTTTCTTGTCCTGCAATATTCCATATCTGCAATTTTATTCGCTTTCCATCTGAAGTTTCAAAGAGAAATGTAAGACAAATAACTAAATTATAATGGAACTGAACGAAAATGACAGCCTGTCGGCAAAAAATGTTAATCAGCTTCCGTCTCATCAGGAAAAATATTGGCTTTTGAAATGAGGACAGCTTCTAGAATTGCGTAAACAGTAATTGCTTTCCCTGTTTTGAAAAAAAACAATGTTCGTATCCTCAGCTTATACAGAGTGATTCAGATACTGCGGAGGCGGGATTGTCTCAGTGTGTGGCAAAAGAACGGTTGAGTTGAAAATTTCCAGCCCCTCTCCGGCCAATGCATTTGTCGTCTGTAAATGACGCTAAAATAACAGCTCTTCTACACGAGTTCAAATGAATTCCGCTTACGCAAAGCAAGATGTATATCTGTCTTGCACTAAATACCTGTGACCTGGATGACTAAGCTAGGTCTTTCTTACAGTTCGAAATGACAAATTAAATAAAATATTTATTATCGCCGTTGAATGGCTGAGGAAGTATGTGTACGTACGGACACCAGTCGAGGCAAATTTATGAACTAAGTTGAAGAGTACACTCCACAAATGAACACAACACTTACCCAGTTCCAGCGTCCTTTTAAGGAAATTTACACCAACTGTCGACGGGCACGAAGATTCGTTGCCCGACTGATGCAATATCGCGGCCTTGCCGACTTCTGGATCACCGACGAGCAACACTTTAAACAACAAGTGATAATTCAACGCCATTCTATTTGTGAGCCTTCGTTATCGAACTCCGCGGTTATTGACTTTAAAGTCTTTAAGTTCAGTGCATTCGTCACGGAAGTCTACTCATGAAGCGAGCACTTTAATTTAGCGAGTGCCTGTTTGTGGACTGAATGAATTTGGCTCAATACCCAGCGGAAATTGCAACAAAAAAACCACAGATGTTCTTAATTCTCAGATTTTAATATCGGATTATGCTGAGTGGTATTATTTTTACATCTAGACATATCACCGCCGGGACCTAGATGAATTCTCTAATACTGTATTCAAATTAATATCTAATTGAATTCATAACTAATGCGCATAATAACAGCGACAATGTTCAAGGACAATACGTAAATTAACAATACATAAAAAGAACAGAGAGACTAGATGTTTGACTTGTTCGCATTGAAAAAGACAGAAATATCACAACAAAATTACGTGACTCACGTTCCGAGTATTTTTAAACCGACAATTATCTATTTCAATTTCGTGCAGAGTGACTATCTCGATCGGTCTGTCTGCCAAGTCATTTCGTCATGTCACGCAATCTTCCCTGGCTGCGTCAAATTAGCACTCATACGAGTCACTCTATTCACAGACAGCGCAAAACAACCTCCATGAGTGAGAAAAGTGGCTACAGAAGACAATGATCATTTACATCTTTCTCAATTAACCAAGACAAAAAAAAAAGAACAAAGACTGCCCGCACTCTACGGCTGGTCTGATTTTAGACATATTAAGTGCAAAACAATGTAAAGAGATAACTTCAATATTTACCCGTCAGTCTTCAATATTGTCAAACACTGTGACACAGCATTCCTTGCCATATATTAAAACGCTTACTAAGAGGGGTAGGGATAAAAATGCTTCAATGAACATTACTCTCCCTACCCCCCAGTCCAGTATGCGGCACTTGAACGGTTGAAACATTGTAAGACTTATAACAGTTTACACCTCCTGGTCGTAAAAGAAATTCATGATTGTACACAAAGTACCGATTAATTCTCCCAGTAGCTGACGCATCTCCTCTGAAAACTTGGCGTTTGGTGACCTCTCATCTAGGCGGGATTTCATCGTTTCAAATAGCCCGGTCACCCGAGAGAAACAAGGCACTCCTTCCCTCACAAGAATCTGTACTGTACGGTCAAACTCGCTGCTAGGAATCATAGCCGTCTTGATATTAGCGCAGATTTCCTTTGTGCTCCTCATGTGAGGCACACCTTGGCTGAATCTGACCACTTTTTTGAAGTCCTCGTCCCATTTCAGAATGACCTCGAGAATGAACTGTAGATCTTCCAGTTGTTGTTGCATCGTCTCATACTGTTTATCCAGTTCTTTGATTTGTGCCTTGAATTGTTTTGTGCTCTTGTTAATGGAAGTAATCGATAATTTCTCGGTGCGCGTCGTTAACTCTCGGATTCCGTCGTTTGTAACGGCAGCCATGCCCCTGAAGAAAGGAAGATGATGTAAACAACAGGTTCCTTAGCTAGTAGCAAATTCAAAAACAAACGCGCGGCTCGCTTGGCTATCTGACGTTTTTTTTTTTTCGCCTTATATGCCTTACTACAATCATGGACAAAAGTCTTGGGGCCAATTTGCACTTTTGATGCTTTTGTGCACACGCCAGACGCGAACATTAGTTCACCTGCCTAACCTCGCCCCCCACCCCCCCATACAATGTTGAAGACTACTACCTGCAATTTCTTCTGATTTTCAGCATTGTTTTGGGTGGGGAGGGGGACCAGTAACGCGTTTTTAAAAGGAAAGCAGCGCTTTTTTCAAACTGCAGTAGTAAAACACAGATAATTCGTTAAATTACATAAGTGTCCCAAGGACTTTTAACCACGATTATAGGTCTACCAAGGAGTCTGCCTAGCTAATTATATTTAAAATTCTTCTCTTATAAGGTGTTAAGGGGCTGGATTGATCCGTCGGCCTTTCAAAACTAGGGTAGAAATTGCCCAAAAGTTCATTGTAATTTCCACATCACCGAGAGATGTGTGACGAGTCTCGATTTCACGAAAAACAGAAATATTTGAGTCAGATATGTGCAATCTGTTTGCCGCGAAGTGTCTGGAGACAGACGAGCGGGCATAATAGACACACGCGCGTGCACCCTCGATTTCGTCTGTTTCAACCTAGAATGCAAGGTGACTGAACGATTTGCATTGATACGTTCCTTAAGCCTTGCATGAATAAATTAAAATAATATATATATCAAGCGAGAAATCAGATGGGTATAAAACACTCAACCTACAATCTTAGCTTAATATCTTTAAAGGTGTATGAAAAGACAATGGTAAAATCTGAAACTAGGGTAGAAAAATACTTGAATTTCAATAGAAGCTTTAATACAAATGATGTTTGTATAACCAACGACTGAGTTGTTATATTTGGTGCTGTGAATTTTAAATGAGAAGGGATGTAATGCTTTAAGATCATGAAATACGACACTTGCGTGTTTTCTTACCTCTCAAGTGTAGATAACCTAGAATCGCTTTCGAGTTCCTTGTGGAATGGGTGAGATCACAAGGACGGAAAATGTTATTTCAGGGAAGTCTGTAGAAATATCGATATATTTCCAGTCATCTAATCCGCATTCAGTGACCCACCCAACTAGTACAAACTGCGCATGAGCCAGGTCAAATGCTGCCCTCTTTTGATTGGTCGAAAATTTGTAATCTCAACTCTGATTGGCTGAAGCAAGCGCAGGTGAAACTTGACTCAAATTCACTCTTTCGCTTATATTTTATGCAAATTTTAAAAAAATCTTATTTGACAGGAGATTTTGTTTGACACAAAGAAGAAAAGAGTGTAATTGAAATATTTTTCGCGAGTTAGCTGCGACAGTCAACCCTACCATATATAGATAACACAAGATGTCGAATCACTGTTCGACACTTTGAATGAGTAAGCCATCGTCAATTATTCATTTTTTAAATTTTCCACACAAATTTGTGCGTTGTAAGCACACATCATAAATGTGCATCGGTACAACTTATAGATAAAAATAATCTTATATATACACATAGCCTGTAGGATGCCCATTGAGTTAAAAAAAAGTACAACACATTCAGTTTTCTTACATTTTTATTCTAGAGGTATTTTTCGTTCAATTTAAAAGCAGGTGGTCATGTTATTTGGTCCTAAGAGACTGTTTTTGGATCCTATTTAAAATTCATGTGTATATATAACCAAAAAAATTACCGTTCTTGATTTAAGACAGTAGTTTACTTTCAACCTTATAAGAATGTAACAACAAAAATTTGTTTGTCCATCCGGCTTCAACGCATAGTTTGTTTGTGCGATGCTTTATATTTTATTCGTTACATGTATCAACTGTGGGTTTCTTTTGGCAGTATTTATTCACCGCTTGTCTGAAGATCAACAAGATCACCTCTACAGCAATACATGTATATTCGCGTACGAATATAGCTCGGTTGCAAACACAGCATAAACCGAACTGAGAAGCACGAAAATCACCATTGAAACTTCCTCTATTGAGTCAATTCAACTGCAGTTGTTGATGAATAGTGGCGCTGTCAGTAGCAATTACTTTTCACCATTCAATTTTGATTCAAACGGTGTGGGTTTTCTTTCCTTTTTTGAGGCTCTAACCTCTTCAATTTCGATCGCCACAAGGCCAGCCTTGATCTCTCTAAACAGGGCCGCATAAGAGAGATCTTGATCATTGTATAAGAAGAAGCTGATGACGATATCTAATTCTTGTTTGATGGTGTTGTAAAAATGTACCAAATGCCAACAATATATATTTTATGAGTTCCATACGTTTTACCAAGGAAAACTAATAAAAACAGGTCAAGGCGAACAAAGCAAGAAACAATTCACGACACTAAGATACTTGTTATTTTAATCATTTCTGTTCCTGTTTATAAACTTATCACTCCTAAATACATCAGGCGAAGTTTGGAAGTAAAGCTCTTCCTTCGAGATGAGTTAGTCGCGTCGCATCAGAATCCTTCTATACGATTTCACTGTGACCGTGAAAGGTCTCATTTTCCACTTAAATTAACTGACTACACTTGTTGCTTCTTAAACAAGAAGTACCATATTCTTGTACCATGAAAATATAATTATTTACGCTACTCTAAACAAAACGAAAAACAAAAAATCAAACTGACATACAAAAATAAAGTTCGATCTTTGAAACGACATGGAAGCATTTTCAAATAATTTCTTCTAAATTAATCTCCTTCACACAATTCGCCTCAAGATGTTGCCGATTATTGCTCAAAATAGATCTCCATCATTGTATCAGTGATTCCAGTCAGCCGCCCCAGAAGCTGTCGAATTTCTTCAATAAACGAGGCCTTATAAGCGGCGTCATCGCGGATAATTTTTGACACTTGTTTCTTCAACAGCTCCAGAGCTTCGTAAACCTGTTGAAAGCAGGGCACGTCCGCGGTCACCAAATTCTGCATTCTGAAGTAAAAATCACCATGAATATCATTCAAGTGATTCTCTATCAATGCACAAATTTCTTTTACATTTCTCACAAAGGGAACACCTTGGCTATTTCGTTCTATTTTGTCGAAGCTTTGCGCCCAGCTTTTAATGTTCTCGTTGAGGAAATCGAGGTCTTGACGTTGCTGAAGTAACGTATTCTGTAATTTGTCAAGATCGGCGATCTCTTTTTGTAGATCTTGCTTATGGTTTACAACTCGTTTTAACGAAACACTCTTTCCGCTGGTAGAAGTTGTTCCATTGACATAAATTGGTGTCTCCATGTTTTAACTGTGGAAGCAAAAGAAGTTCATCATTATTTTTATACTAGTTCTTTGCCAAAATAAATAAATTTAGCCGGCGAGGTAAGAAAATTGCAAGTAATTCAACGCGTTTTAATTTACTCCCTTGGAGCACTGGAAAGATCACTTCTAAATGTTCACCCAATTATTTTGAAAACTGAATTCATGCATACCTGATTCGGAAAAGAAACCGCAATTTGTATAAACTTGCATTTATCATTGGTTTCCCCCACTAAAAGATTGTATAAAAATAAAAAGCTACGGTAAACTTGTAAATTGTTCGTGTGTTTCACGCCTTTTTGTGAAACATAACTACCGCTGTTTCAATTTGTCGGTCGCTGGTTTCTTTCATCACAGAATGTCTTAACGCGACATGAAAAACAGACAAATTCAAGATTAAAGGATCCAGCAGTAAATTCCAATGTGAAAGCTGTCTATATTTGTCGGATTAGAAAAGAAAATCAGGCTTAATATTGCCCAGAATGATAAAAAATTGTTTTAAAATTCTTCAGATATGAACAACCATGTCAATTTGCATATTCTGACATTCACGATCCGATTAATAAAGTCAATTGAAATACTGTTTTGATAGTCAACCTACGTTGATTCGAAATTTTATAGAAGAATCTAAGTTCTCGTGTTATAGATGCCTTTAAAATGTTAAGCCCTAAAGCCCGAAATAAAAGATATCTGTGATAAACGTAACTGATTTTTGTGGCATTTGTTTCGTCAGTTTCCACGGTGCGGGAGACTGAGCGATCCGTAGAGCAATGCCATGCAGTATCAGAGAGCCACCGTAGATTCTGAACAACCTCAAAAACGACAAATTGTAGACGGCTGGAATGCTTAATCTTTCATTAAGGAGGCCGGGGAAATATTTTTGGAAAGCACACTTACCGTTTTGATGAAAAAAAGTTCTTTTTCCTCAATAACAGAGCAACAAAACAAAGCGCTTTCGCTGTTTCTTGCTATGATAAGGTATAGTTTGGGCGCTGCCAGACATCACTAAACCCCCTGGGGCGACAGTATGCTAAATAGCAAATGGCAAAAGCAACACTGTGAGATTGTGGCGCCAAATTACCATTCGGCGAATGCGCGAGTAAATTTGATTGGTTCGTACGAGCAGGTGCAAGAAATAAGTGCCTTACTTCACTTTATTATTGCTTTCGTGGGCTTTTGTCTGAAATCACTGAATTTAGTTCTTCGTTGAGATTTTTTTCCGATTTTTTTTCTACGTTAACTCGTTACTTTAGGACAAAGATTTATTCTACGTCTTACTGTTTGTATAATTAAACTGAATTATTTTCTCTGTTTGCCATGGCTTTATTACAGGGGTTATTAAAGTCCTTAATAAAATATTTATTTCCTGTCGAGCAAAAAAGAGTCATACTCAAGCAAAATATTTTTGCTTATCTTAATCCTGAAGGTAAAGGCGTTTTTCGAATTCTGAGTGAATGCGAGGTTAAATACGCTTCTCGCTTTCTAAATACCGCGGATTCAATTTTCACATACAATCTTCTTTACAGTAAGCGCACGAACCCCTTTCAAGTCTTTTCGGGTCATTTGCATATCATAGCCTGGCGCTTGAAAGGCATTTTTTTTCCAGCTGCTCATGGCTGTCTTCAAATAATCTACAGTTTTATTGGTTGCTTTGACGGAAGCCAATTCAAAACAATTCAGGGAGTGGAAAGGCTGTGTCTGAAAACCAAGGTTTGATCAGAGTCGTTCTGTTTGTGGTCGATTTCACTTTCACTAGCTGAATTCCATATCACTCTGTCTATCCCAAAATTGCAAGAAAAAAGTTGCAAACGTTGATTTCGAAGGCGGAATCATCAGTCAAACTTGAAGCTTAAAGGAAAGGACAAAGGTATTTATTCTAATTTCAATTTTATTGGGAGCGAGAATGTTTTAAGGAGTGTACATATTTTCAGGTATATCAACTCCTTTCTAATAATTTCGAATTCGTTCGCTTACATTGATAAAAGTAGCTCAATCTTCAGCGAAAAACGCGAGAAAATTTAGTTTCTGTCTTAAAATATAACACAGAATAAACCAAATCTGAAATTAATACTTTTACGTCGTTTCTGTAAGACAGGAAAATTAAGATACAGTTTTACTGCGTTCCTTTCTTGTAGAGGGTGCGAATCTACATATATAGAATGAGTGGAACAGTTGCAATGGAACTCTCAAGCAACACTCTTCACCCGAGACAACTCGGCATCACCGGAGATGGACTAGAAACAAGCCACGCCCTGTCAATGAAAATGATCTGCACCAATAAACAACGTTTACAGAAGACCGTGGGAAGACTGGAGAAGATGCAAGGTCCAATGAAGAAGCAGCGAGATGATCTTCTGTTTTTGGTGGCGACGATGGAGGAATGGAGCCTAATTATGCACGAGTCAGAGCGAGGACACAGTGGAGTCCCGGTTTTGCGCTCAGTAAAGGAGGGTTGTAATGAAATCACGCCAAGTTTGAACAGTAACAACAGCCAACTGAATCAAACTGTACAACGGCTTAGCAAAGCCAGCGTACCTCGCATCGCGCATGTGCAAAAGTGCCTGAAAGATTTGAGAAAGGAAATTCGCGCGGTGTTTGACGACGAAAACACATATAATGGAAAATTTGTTGAAGATGTCCGAGAAACTATAGGAAATATAATCGGCACGGCTAATGCCTTGATAGCGCTGTATTATTGATAGCCGTAGCGGAAATTTCATGAACAGCTGTGTTAGTGTTTGCAGTCTGAATAAAATCGCTGAAAGTTCACATGTTTTGAGCTGTTTGGAAAGTTATGCAATGACAAACGACACGGGTGTCACCTAGCTAATTATAAAAATTATCCATATTGAAATGTGCTATAAGCTCTTCCTGTCCCTTCTCAAAGATAAGTCACGCCCAGTACGCACGTGGGACTAGCGGTCTGATATAATTTCGTCCATATTGTTTTTCAGAATTGATGCATGGGTAATATGACCAGCCCAGAATACGGACTGCCTCACTGATACAAATTTGGAAAATTTAATTCACACTTCACAAACTTTTTCCAAGCGTAAAAAACTTCATAGACCACTGTTTTTGAGATTCCCCCCCCCCCCCCCCCCNCAGCTGTTTTTACACATCAGACCCCTCTTACAAGGGATAAAAACCAAGCCCCAGTTGTTCGAAGGCTGGACAATGCTATCCACCAGATAAATCCTTATCAAGTGGATAAGTGTTAACAAAATAAACCATGCTATCCGCTGGATAGTATAGCATAATCCATTTTTTTTACAACTGGGCCACATGTAAATAATAATAAATAATAAATAAATAAGTAAACAAATAAATAAAAAAAGAAACTTTTCTATAGCAATTTATACACTGCTATCCCAGGTGCTTGAAGGATGAAGTTGAACTCAAGACCTTGTAACACTCACTCATGCACAAGTCAAAGGACGAGAACTTGAAATCACATCTTTATTTAGTTATGCTGTGTAAACTAGAATGCAGAACATTACCAGCAACAAACCACAAACAATGAGTGTGAACATAACTTACAGTGCTGACATTGAACTTTTCTCTTCATTGATAAATTCTCCTGAACATTAACATACATAATTATGGAGTCTAGTAATGAGAATTTGTTTGTTGAACCTAACTCCTTTACAAAACATGCCAACAAGGTGCACTTACGCATAACAAATCCATACAGTAACGTTTTTTCATTTAGAAGAAAACAACTTTAAATAAAACTACAGCCACGTCGAGAAGCAAAGTAGTATATAAAATCATCCATCATTAAACTCTGGTTATACCTAACTTTTAAGTCATTAATTCTTTAATTAAGGTGCAAATCCAAACTCTTCAAACCGCACTAGAAAAGTCCAGTAATTTCTTACTATAAAAGCACTTGATTTAGTGGATAAATATTGCTGCTGAAAAGTTTTTGCACACAAAAAGGTTAGTCTACAGTCCTCCACGTGGTTCGTGTCTATTTACTGGCCGGCTGTTTACTCGCACGTGCTTCTCACGGTCATATCTAGGTTTATGACTTCTCCCTGCTCTTTCGAAGTCTCCTGATCCCCAGTCCTTATCTCGTGCCACTCCATGGCGATGGTGTCTGTTGTCAAACTCCCTGTGAGTCCCTAGCCCCTCACCATTCACTTTCAGCCTGTCCTTATCTCGTATGGTCCCAGTGTCTTTCCTAGAGGGTGCCACAATTCCTTCATGTCGGCTGTGATGGGTAGGCCTCCCTCTTGGATCTGTTAAAGGAAAGTACCAGGAAAATCCCTTAAGCTATCATGTCCATTGTGTCTGACATTATATGCTTGAAGTTCAACAAACACTGTACAATATGCCAGTACCACACGAAAGTACTACTTCATACAAGTAGCTTTAATTTGGATTGTAACACACCAGGTTTTAACCCACGCAAGTTAAAGTTAGAGCCACAGTCTATGACATGAAAGAACTACCGTACTCAGCAGCTTTCATTTGACTGGTCACACAATAGGGTCTGACATGCGCAAACTTGTACATCTCTGCAAGTGACCCCGTTGGATAAAATATTTCTCTAGAAAGAAAGAGAAAGAAGTGGCATGCCCATTCTGTGCTATTAACTAAGACCCTCAGCTGTGCATCTCTATACCTGACCAAACCTAACCCTTTTTTCAGAGTTCAAGACACATACCTTCCAGACCTCTGATGGTAGCTCTTTGTCTGTCCCTTAAAATATTGGAGAACTGCGTGGTTCGTTCGTTCCACTCCTGGTCAAAAGCTACAGCATCACCTATCCAATACAAACAAAACTCTTTTCTCATTAGATAACAAAATCTTGTTACATGCTTGCCACAGGCATAACTATGCCAAATTCCCTGACTTTTCCCTGATAAAAATAAAATTTCCCTAACCAACTAAATATAAAATGTCAAATATAATAGCGGCTTCTAGCCTTGTTCTACAGCCATCCTTCCACTCTATCATTAAGACTGATAAGTTTTCAACAAATTTTTCTTCTTCGTCAAGTAAATATATCGTTGAGATCACAGTGGCCTCAAATGTTTCTTCCAGCCTTCACTGGTATTAAATCAGCAGTGTTCAATTATTTCAATTTTCCCTGACTTTTCTTGAAAATGTCAATTTTCCCTGACTCAAAATAAAATTCCCTGACTTTTCCCTGACCTTGAAGAATTTTTTCCCCTGACCATTTCATTACCTGTGGAAACCTTGTCTTAATTAGTAAACAATCCATATTGGAGTAAACAATTTAATTAGATTAAACAATCCAAATTCTATGATAGGCAATGAAACTCACTTTCATCAAGGTTGATGAAATCCTGTTTTCTCTCCTCCTCTCCAGATCTCCTGTTCATTGATCGCTCAATCACGTGAGAACGATCATCTGTGGGTGGAAGGGAAAAGCAAAAAATAGTTACTACTTTGTGGGCCACGTAATTCTTTCTCTCATCCATGGTTCAAGTTTTTTGTTTTTCATTGATCTTTAGCTTTCTTTGTTCTATTAAAAATCTTAGCAACTAATGACATTTTGAAGACAGACCATATTTGCTATCTAAAAATTCTGAAACAAATAATGAGAATGACTAATGTATAATAATTATTACATCACCAACACAGAAATAACAGACACCAGATTATCCAAAATAGATAGGATAACAACTTTACCAAGGTGGTGACCAATTGCCATACGATGCAATCCAGATTCAGAATCTCGCACAGAATGTTGTGTTTCTTTAATCTGCAGGAAATACAAAGAGAGAATATTTAAGCAGGAAGTCACATATATATTTAAAGTCTCATAACGACCAACAAGGATAACATGTTTGTCTTGTAAGTTTCAAGATATGTAGATTTAAACCAAGACTAGCACACAAGAAGAAGATATTTTTTAAACCACTGTTTGCACGAAAGGGATAAACACAAAAAGCAGATTGAAGTCTTGCGGTACTTAATCAACCAATGAAACAGTTTTGACCAGGTTTTACAGGTTTACATCACTTACTCCTCCAGGTGCCTTCTTAGTGGATTTGGATGCTTGAAAATATTTAGGTTCCCCTTGTCCATCGCTTGAATATGACATGACACTTGATGAAGAGTAACTGAAGGTATTAGGGTCATTTGCCATTTGCTCCTAATGAATTAAAAAAAGAGAAAGACTTACAACACTACACAATATATAACACAAGTGTCAATAAATATTGAGCTATGTTCTACAACATTAACAAACTGGTTCATAATGAAGCGTTCTGATTGACTCACTGAACAATCTGAATTTGTGATATCATCACTAGGAATTTATCAGCAAACTTGAACATAAGCTGGTAAGAAAATCTTATGTCTGATAGATTGATCATAAATAGAGAATAATACATGGGTATTATTATTATTATTATTATCATTATTTCTCTTGGAGTGTTCAATTCAATACGAACACATGAAAAGAAATTTCATATCAACAAGCAACCACGTATTACTAATAATGATGTTTTTGATGACTTTCCACAGATTTTTGACTAGTTTCCAAAATTTGCGAGGGCTCTTAAAAAGTTGTACAAAGGCCACACGAACATTTGTGAATATTTTCTGAAAATTTCTGAAGGTAACTGAAGATTTCCAAAGATAACCAAAGATTGCCGAAGACTTCTGAGAAAAATTCAAAGGTATTTTGATCATACACCAACAAATTTAAATACATTTTAAGGGTCAAACATGATATCAAAGAAGTCATCAATATCTTCACTGTATGGTGAGGATATGGCAAATCAGCCACTCGAGTCCCAGAGGCAGATGTAGTTTCTCATAAATTTTACGAGTGGTATACTTTCCAGTAAGGGACAGACCATTAGAAAAGTGATAGGGATGGGGGGTGGGACTTTTTCAGCTTTTTTTTTTTTTCACGTCCACTGTTTCTGTAAGATTTTAAACACTCCTGTCTATAAAATAATTTGCTGTATTTATTTATGTGTATAGCTTGCAAGTACTGCTTATTTGTACAAACTTACAAAATTTCTGTGCATATTTGCCATCATGGAGTTCATGTTGGTAAACATGTCACCAAACATACTGCCAAACATGTCAGTGGGTTGAGCCAACTGCTGGCTGCCACGATTTGACCTGCCAGCCCGTCCTCCATTCTCAATACCAGGGAGAGCTGAGGGGAACCCAAAATGCGAAAATGGGTCGTGAAAGCCCCGCATCATAGATGAAATTCTCTGATGGTGATCCCTGAAAGAAAAAAATGATATAATGAGTGGGGAGGATTATTACACTTGCAATTTTTGAGGCTACTTGTCTGTTGTGATGACCGCAACCTGTTTTATTATATGGCTAGCTCTGTAAGTGGGCAAGATGAACTGAATCCTGTGCTGTGATTGGCTACTCCAGCAGGCAAGATGGCGTGATCTTGCCCACTCGAGATTAACTGCAGTTTCCATATAATGAATCCCTTACTAAGCAAGCTTGTTTGGTCAAGGTGGCTGCATATTGGCCTTGTCACTTGGTCAATAATGCAAATATCAAAGTGAAGTGTGATCATCGCAGTAAATTTTCCAATTTAAGCAACTGGAAAGAAGAAGCCTGAAAAAAAAAT